GATCCGGATGCACCTGCCGCAAACTGCACGCCGGCGCGCGTATCACGTAATACGAGGTTACGCAAACGTAATCACCAGCGATATATCGCGTTTGCCGGACATTTGTAAAGATTACGCTGGAAAATTCTGCGGGGAAATGCCGCGAGAGAATTCTCCGAGATGCCCAGACGGCTGAGCTCGAGCTTCGAATAAAGTAGAAAGTGGCGGGGAGATGTAAACCAGCGAGGAAAGTTCCCCCTGACCAGACCGCTCGAGCCGTCCTTGCGATCTGTTCCGCCTTACATCGACCGCATATCGCTCATCTAAGTGGCAATATCCTCGTACCTAACCTCTCCTAGAATATCCCAATCGATGAATCATCCGACGCTTCTCTGCTCCTTATCAAAATTGATTCTCCGGCCAGCACAGAGGCACCGGAGCAGATTAGACAGGGCGATGGCGACCCTGATACCCCGAGCATCCCCTATCGTTCTCGAGCTCCGCGTGGGCCATTAGCGGGCGAATTATGCTCGCGACTGCTTAATCCACGCCGAAATGTCGGCCATTTCGGGCCACCGAACGAAATCCGACCAAACGATCTCGCGGGGAACGCGACCCTCGTTCAGAGATTCAGCGAACGTTCCGTCCACTAAACACCTATTGCGCCACCTCGACCGCGTTGCTCGCGGTTAAACGAAGAGGTCAAAAGAGAGGCGCTGCACCTGGAGAGGCACTTTTCGAGCCATTAACCGAGCACACGCTCGAATTCGCGCCTTCGACTTCGCCTGCAGCCGAAATTCGGTTAAACCGCCGACAATTTCTGGACAATCGCTGGCCGTTCATTCGAGATGCGAGTAGGAACGCGCACGCGGTTTCCACACACGCGTGCACCGCAGGCACAGTGTCGACCGGATGAAAAGAGCCCGTGTACACACACGTCCCGTGAAATCTCGTTACCGGAGGCTAAAGGGACTCCTTTTCGCGACATCCGAGCACAGGGAGGGAGAGAGAGAGACACCCGGTCAAAAGCAATTTCGCCTAAACCCGGCCGACTCTCACGGCCGCAGCGTACTGCTTCTCTCCCTTTCTATGATCCCAGACTGATTTCCACCGGCTTTCTCTCGCCCTCTGTCTCCGCCCCACCCTCTCGAGCCACCCCCAGCGGCCCGGCTCTTCCGGCGTCGACTGGTGACCACCGAGCCGCGTCGTATCCTCCCGGGGCCGAAATAACGCCGGTCGCCGAGAAGCGATTGCAACGACGCGGCCCGATAAGGAGATTGAATTCTATGCCCGCGTAATGATCGCAATAACGGGAAACAGCCGAGCAGATAAGCGGCGCCGGTAAACGATCGAGGAAATCGTGGCTGAATCCTCGCCACTCGCCGCGACTGAGTTACGCGTTCGCAATGGGAATCGACTGTAGGTAGGAGGGACGGAAATCGAAACGTGGAAATTCGCAGCGACACAAATGGAGTGCGCATTGTCATCGCGCGGCGGGCTATTGGGAAACTTTTATCGGCTAGCTCACGGCATCCGTCGTCGTTCCCCGGCTAAGTAGGGTAAGGCCTGGGTGTTCGCCGGGAAAGATACATACGTGGATGTAGCGCGAAGAAGAAAGTGGATCGTTCGGCCGGTAAACGTCGATCGATATTCCACCGTGATGGACTCGAACGAATGGGAACGCAGGAGGAGCCCGATTATACGGTTACCTCGATCCAACGACGACCCCTTTTCTTTCGTTGCTGCCTCGTTAGCGCGTAATTGCCGATAGTAATTCGCGCCGGGTCGAACACGGATCAAGGAACCGATTCGAAGCTCGGCCCGCTAGACGAGTATCGCGGGATGGCATTTCGGACGAGAAATGTCGGATGAAAAATGGAAACGTCGAAAGCGAGCCTTTTTGCCCGCTTTTAATCCGAGACCGTCTGTCCGCGAGAGTCGTTGGCGAATCATTGCGACACTCGGGCGAAACCAACGTGATGTAAATTTCCTGCTGAGGATATTCCACTGTATGCTAATATTTACCGGTTTCTTTTGCATTTTCTCTCCCGCTGTCTGTCAAAGGTAACGAGTTTCGCCGCGCAATCTCGCGAGCCACGCAACCGTACCAACTCGAAATTCCCCGTTACCGAACGGCGAAGCGAGCCAACGCGGACGAGCGAAAATGAACGCGGGTAATCATAACGGGGCCCGGTGTAATCACCGGTTAATACGGGCGAGACAACGCGATCGCGAAATAATTCCGCGCGAAAGCGAACGCAACGGAACGCGAGCGTAACGCGTGCATAACGCGGATTAATTCGCGAATCGGCGTAAGTAGCTATTAAACGCGCGAATTCTCCGACACCGTAACGAATCCCGATCCGGGGCGGTGCGACTGAATTTTCGCAAATTCGCGGGACGCAACAACAACGGCAGTTTCGCGATATCTCTATTCACTCCGCGCGCGATCGATATCCGTTAAACACTCGCCATTAATCCACGTGTTCGAAACCGGCAATCGTATTTCCAAACTGCGTTACACGCGCGTTACACGGGAGGTGGGACACGCGAATAATTTAGCTCATTAGCGTTCATCGATAACGCGATATTCACTGAACAAAGTTTCGCTTTGTGCGTCGATTACGGCTCGGCCGGCCACGTTTCCGCGAAAAACCGGCCAACCGTCCCGATCGCGATCGCTCGGCAAAGTAATACGCGAGAAATGGCTTAATCGCGATCTCACCGGAAGTGGAAGTCGTTCGGTCAGCCGCCGCGTTCAACGCTCTTTCTCCGTTCTCTTTCTCAATCCTTCCTCGAAAAGGTTTAAGAAGCAATTAGCCGCGATAACGCGTAATTAACGCCTGCCGCGTGTGCACATACGAATACGGGAATTAATTAAAATGTATACCGTGCCGACGCTAATGGAGCGATAAAGGCCGCTCCCTTAACGATCATCCCTGTTAGCGCGTGTGGTTAGAGGCACCGAATGAATCAGAGGGCCGCTAAAACTAACTCTCGCTCGCGTGTTTGAAATTTATTTAACCGTCTCTCCGACTTACTCGTCCCTCTCTCGTTGCCACCCCCTTTCTCATCCCCTTTCTATTCCCTTCTTCGCGAAACTTCCCTCGTAATAACGCTACGCCGCCGATCACGCGTGTAGACGACTGATTTACGACAGGTTTCCGGAGAGCGGGCAAACTTGCCTCCAGGAGATAAAACCTACGCTCCTCTCTCTCCGTGCATATTTTTCAGCCCATCATAAAGTTGCAGCAACGTGCCGTTTAAACGCGCCGTCAGGCTCGTAATAAAAACGCAAAGGGTAAGCAAGCGATCGGCTGGCCGATTTAACGAAATCGTCGATCACGGTACGCCGGTGGACGGGCGGGTGGTGTCGTTGGAACGGCTCTCGATTACCTAAACCCAGGCCGGGCGTGCTCGCCGTCACCACCCTCACGAGAGGCGCGAACGCTCCCGGTGATCGACAGCCGCTTCAATTTCAGGCAACGCGGTAAAATTCGCGTTAGCTCCGCTTATCAGTCACGCCGCTTTGTCCACAGGGGGTGCCGGTGACATCAAACGACCACACCGAACGCGCCGCTGCTTCCCCGTGGCTTTTACCCGCTGCACGACCGCCGCGATGATTTGTCTTTGACGAATCACCGTTCGCCTACTCGTGACGCTTCTCTCTGTGCGACCTCCTTCGGGCTCGTACGTGCAACCCCTCGGCGATAGGGAGCGAGGCCAACCTCAAAAGAGGTACTTCCAGCTCTGCTTTCCGTCCTGGAGTTTCTACGACTCGTTTCGAGCCACCTGTCACGCGCTCTCGCTTCCTCTCTCGCTCTGTCCCAGAGTTTCCCAGTTCTCGCCCAACCGCCTCTTTCTCCCGTTCCGTTCATCCTGTGCCCCTTTTCAATCGTTCTCGGACCAACGTGGTCTCCGTTGTCCCAATGTCGCCCAGAACTTTTCTCCCGGGGAGAAACTTTCGCCTTCCTCTGCCGATATCTTTATTCCGATTTATATTCGTGCTCCCGTTTGTTTCTAACCGCGCCCGTTACCGGGAACAGGTAAGAGAAACGCGCCTCGAGTTGCACGGCGGAGCGATGGCGGCGGCCGGACCAAAGTGGCAGTTTATTGCGAGCAGCCGAGCCCCAAGAGTGTTTGCCAGCCGAGAGAGGATCCCTTACCGGGTAATGCGTTTCCAGCAACTGTACCGAGCTAAGTACTACTCGGAATCGAGTTCTTCGGTTCGATTAAAGTAACACAATTGGATCGCTTAGGACGGCTTAGGAAACTTGCCCTCGCTCGGCAACGTTCCCGTGCCATCGCGATGGCAGGCCCGAATTACCGGCAGGATTAAAGAGTTAAACGCGATTCGCTACTTTCTTCTATCACCCCGACCTGACAATTTTCCCTCCTCTCTGTTCTCCATTCCACGACCCGGCTTCGCGGTAAATAAATTAATACTCTGCTACCGGTTCCCGCGGTTTCCCCGGTTTCCCTCTGTTTGAGCAAGTCGGGCGAAAAACAGAGCGGTTAACGAAACTGCGGGTCAACATCCCGACGCAACGTTGTTTAAGCTTTTTCTTGTTGTTCGTGCGCGAATCGTGCACGAACGCGTGTACACCGCGTACTTTTCGTTAGTTAAAACTACCCCTTTCTGCCTGCCGGTGCCGCGGAGGGAAAAACAAAATGGACGGTACATTACTTCAATTCGTCATTTCCTTTTTTTCTCTTCATTTCTCGCCAGCATTTTCCTCTCGTTTATCGCGTCGATTTTTGCGCAAGGTTATCGATACGAAATAACCCACAGTCGAATTTTAACGAATAAACGTGCATCGTTTTCCGCCATTCCTTTCTCTCCCTGGATTCGACCGCGGGCAGATAAAAATCGGAAACTCCGCCGGGGTTACTTCTTTTCGGAGTAACTTAGAAGTAAAAGTCAGTCAGGGAGGAAAAGAGATACGCGGCACGTCCCGAGTCCCGTACGCGGAAATTTCGCGGCCGAAAACTTTCTCTGCAAATAAAACTGTAACACTCACGTTCCGTTGACGCCGCTCCGGGAAACTGTCCGCGCCTCGGACAGCAGCTGGCTCCTGCTCCACGCGCCGAACTTCCTGCAAGAAACACGGAAAATCGAGGTATAAAAAGCCCGCGAGATATTCCTCGATGGATCGTTCGCCAAGATTTTCGGCGCGGGAGGAAAGTGGCTCCGGGTGAAATCGCCTCTCGGGCGTTCCATTTTCACGGATCACGGGAACGTCTCGGGACGATCCGGCAGGGATACAGTCGGTCGCAATAACGAGAAGAATATCGGCGGATCCGTGCAGAATATCGTGCACTCGGTACGCGAGCGAACACTGAATTTCCGGATTATTATTCGATCCCTGCGGATCGATGGTTCCCGGGTTGGTGTAACCGGTAACGTTCCTCTTCGATCGTCGCTCGATTCACGCTCGCGTTACCGTGAAACGACGGCAATCGGGGGACTCGAAAACGGGAATGTCCCTGGAATGAGTCAGCGTTCCCGCATCTGCGAGACGAACAATTAACCGATAACGTATTTCGATCGATGCCCATTGTTTCACGGGGGAGAATCAAACTCGGAGGGACAGATAACGAGATGCAGCGAACGTTTGTGCTTCTTTGACGGAGGAAGGGTGGAAAGTCGAGGGCTTGTAAATGTCTGTTTCAGCTGTCGGTGCGCGATAAGGACTCGATCGTTGTAACGCTTTCGAGAAACGGGCACGTTATTAGCGTTTCCTCCGAACCCTTCTTAAACCCTCTGCGGACGGAGCGGTTTTGAGTAAACCGACAGTCATTCGAACCTACCATCGCTCGTTTCTGCTTAAACGCGATTTTCGTTCATAGCGACGCTGGTAATAAGGACATAAAACAGTCCACCACTTAACAAAACCTACCATCGCTCGTTTCTGCTTAAACGCGATTTTCGTTCATAGCGACGCTGGTAATGACATAAAACAGTCCACCACTTAACACGTTAAGTGTCACGCCAGTCCTCAGGGACCGGTGCTAGACTTCTCGTTCGGGTCCAGACTAGGTCCAGACTAGGACCAAAAGGTGCCAACTTTTGATGTTAAATTCTTCGCCATTTTTGGACACAACGTTTGGGAATTCCTGTTATGATAATTAGTACGGTATCTCCGAGTTTTATGAAGACTTTACCCGCCGCCAGTGACCCACTTGATGGCGAGCAAAACGGGGTGGGCACTTAACGTGTTAACTTGGGACGTGCGGTCCTAGGGCCGCAACAAAGGGCAATGTTTCTAGGCCACAGAAACGCGTTTACATGGGACACATTTATAAGTTCCTCGGATCTATCAGCTGTTTTCGCCGAACGCATATATGAGTTCCTCAGCCAAACTGATGGTGTCCGCCGAACGCATATATGCGACTCTCGTCCGCAAGGGTTAATTGTCTATCTGCCTATGGAGGATTTGCAAGCTTTTATTAACCTTTTGAGTCCCAGACGTTTTTAAAAGAACACGGTCGAAAATAACCCCAACAGCGCGATAGCGCTTGTCTTAATCCAGTGCGAAAAAGCCCAAACAGCGCGATAGCGCTTGTTGGTGCTATGTGACGTATGTGCATCAACAAAATTGAGCGCACCACTTTGACAGTCAGTGATAGTACCGTCAGTTGTTTATAGCGCTCGAAATGTACTGGGACTTTTCGACACAAAATCTGAAGAACGCGATCGTACTGCGTGGGACTCAAACGGTTAAAGATTAGGTCGGATGATGGTTAGAGTTGCGTAAGGGTCCGCGAGTTTGGGGATGAATAACCAGCATCGCGCGTGCTTCCTCGTCGGACATTTCTGTTTCCGCTATTCCTGCCTTCGCACTCGTGTTTACGAATCATTCCCGATCAGCGGTATTTTGGCTAATTGGAGCAATTAAGCGACACTGCGTTTATAATCCGCGATATCAAGAATCCTTTGAGGTGTACAAAAATATTTGGCCACTTCTGGCAAACGACGAGCAGATAAACATAAAACTCCGCCTCGACTGGCTGACCAATTAGAATGATCCGTGGTCACGTAAACAGCAAAAGCACCAGCCAACCGAAATGCGCGGACGAAAACCCTCGCAGGGATCTCCCGCGAAATTCTACCGAGACAATAGACAATAACCTCAGCGTTCAGTCGGTCCTGGTTTTGTTCACCCCCTGTACCAGTTCCAAGCTGGACGAGCACAGCGCAACCGCGATTCTTCCTTTTTCACTCTCGCCGTGCTGCTGCGAAGCGAGCCGGTTCTCGTACACCAGCTATCCGGAAAAATGCCATAGTATTATACCATTACGTATCCCGAAGCTCCTCTTCGACCTGTTTACACAGTCCAATGTTTAGCGAGGAGAGTCAACCGGGTATTTACATTTCCCCCTTGGCCTGTTATTACCGCAGACGGGGTGCTTGGCCCGAGATGTTCGATACGTAGGGGGGAATCGTTCGAGATGTTAGTTAAGTGGAAAGAGCAAAGAACTTTGGAGACAGAGAGACTAGTTCCAGCGACGGATTAGGAGATTTGCGAATCCTATGCGAAACACTGAACCTCGGAGGTGTACACAATGTATAGAGCAAAGATGGGTACTTCTCTTGAGAGAACGCCCGAGGAGACTAGCCCACCACGGACAACTCTGGCACTTTCCCTGACATCTCGCGAATTGGCACTCATCCGAGATGCTAAAGGTCATCGTTTCGATCCGAAAAAGTGGACCTCGCGACACGTCAGATGGGTACTAAGCACGATACCAAGTACGAAAGCTTGCTAGCTAGGGGGTTGCAGCTCGAATTCAGCAATCTAAATCACGCACGATCATGTGTCGAAAGCGATTCGTTTCGTCTAGGTCGTGCGATTCCGACCTTACAGCCCCGAGAAAATTGGACAATCCAATTTGCAGCCTGCGGACGCGACAGTCGCACTGGTCGGTCTAAGAAACGCGAGGACCCTGTTTCGACAGGTATAACGAACACCGTGGTAAAGATTTTCGCGTACAAATTTGTTTATGTCCATGGGAAACGTAAATAAGTTTAAGGTAGGTGCGGCAGAGAGGCTCTCGACGTGCTCGGGCAGATAAAGCTCGCGAAAAGTGCTGTTTATGCCGGCGCAACGAGACAAGCATAATTCAGGTAGCTCGGTGACGCAAGCTCCAGACTCGCAGGCGCTCTACAGGGGTATTTTAGCGCGACGGTAATTTAATTCTCAGCCTTAGCGGCGTTAAATCTCGTTCCTTCCGGTACAAGAGAGGCGACAGGAAATCGATGGTCACCAAAATAATTGATACGTACGAGGGAAATTCATTTCTCGCGCCGCTTGAAAATTAAACATCAACGTCCATTATGCAGATGCGAACTGACCGAATTTCAAATCGAAATTTCGCTTCCGTGATCGTTCGAATCGGACCAGCGAGGAGCTGAAGGGTTGAGATCGCGAAGCGTTTACCTTTTCTAAAAAAAGCCTTCCTTCTTCAGGTCGAGTCGTGGATTTATTTAATGTCCACTAGGATTTGATTTACCTTTCCCTTATCGGCAAGGAAATTAAGATTCCCCAGGCTACGGTAAATAGCGGAGGCCAGACCCCCGCAGTTTGCATAATCGATACAACGTCGATTGCTGAAACATCTGTCGAGAATATCGAACGATCCGGAGCGTATGACGCGCTCAAAGATATATAATTGGCTGTCGAAACTGCCGTTGTCTAAATCGTAACAGGAGCAGTGACGCGGGACCGCCATTAATTACGAACAATTAATCGAAATTCTCGACAAAGTGGAAGGGTAGTTTCTCTGTAATCAGGGGAGGCACACGCGAGAGCGCTGGCTTTCGCCGGCAAGCCTTCGCCTCAGAGTTAACGAGTTTATCGGGAAACACGTAAGGTGGTCGGGGCTAATTAATTAGGCGGAACAATTTTCCACGGATATAAGGCGGGGGCCAAGGACCACGAGGGGCGCGTGCGCGCGAGCGCATTGGTAGCACGTCAGCCGGTCTCGAAACGGACAGAACTTACGTGTACACACGTGCCTGCCACAGGTCGATAAATTATTCAGCAGTAGGACGAACCGCCGACAGGCGTCGTGAGCTAATTAACCTCGTTATCGCGCGTGCACGTTAGACCCTGCCCTCCACCGATCGGACTTGTCATGTGGGTTGATCTTACGGTCGCAGGACCTTGAGCAGGTATCTATCGAGACAATAGCTTCTCCAAACGAAGACACGCGTTAAACTCACCTTCCTGACATTATTCACCTTACTAACCCTAACTTCTCGAGACTCCTCCACTCTTTACGAAAGAGTCCTTTTAGCAAACCGCGACATGGAACAATGACGAAGCGGAAAGAGGTTTGGTCGTCAGCGTGAAAACGCTGCGAAGCGAGACGCTAATTAAATTCGTTACCGAATTTACACGCGCCTCCGTCGACGCGACGTGACCGCTTGGTCAGGTTCGACGACCCGTCGGCACCGGAAGCGGGAGAATATTTCGACGGTAAGTGAACTAATTGTCGTCGATTCGGGGGATATAGAAACGACGGGCGGCCGAGTTGCGGAATGGCGGTCGAGCGAACGCGGGACGGTAATAGGATTCGCAGCTGACGACGTTAATAGAAGGATTTCGAGTAGAACTTCCTCGTGGACTAATTAACCTTGTTATTTCGACCATGGTGACAGGAGGTCGCTGCCGGCGATGTAACATTCGCTGCACTCGATGTCGACCCAATGCAAGAACACCTCCGTTTGCAAGCTGCAGCGGAATAATCGACGTTCATTGGGTTCGATGACTCGTCCGCCGACCAGGCTACGCGATCGCTCGCGTTAATGATGGCTGATGCTCATCAGCCTGGCCATTATTTCTTCTCGATAAGTATCGATCGGATAACGATGCCTGTGATACGGATCAAATTCGCCCAGTCGATGAGTTCTGCGGACAAAACCGAGATTATGGCCTGTTCGATCCTCGTCGAGTTAACGAAGTTCGGGAAGAACACACTGGCGATATTCTCGAAACGTATTTTATACGACTCTTGCTCTATACCTGTATCGTCGCGATAAATGGTAATACCACCCTTCGAAAAGTCGAAACGATACGCGAAACGCGACCTG